TGCTCTCACTCCTGCTATAATTTACAAGCAACTGATATTCAGAGGGATAATATCTCTAATAGCAGCTTATGATTTTACCCTCCACGAATGTTCTAATCCCATTTAAAAAAATTCTAAATTGATAATCTAATTGCATCTAGTGGTAGAATTTCTATTGCTTTAACTGTGTGAAGGAATACTTGATATGTGTTTCACCGCTCATCACTCAGCCTCAGTAGAGATTCTGGATCCAAATATTATTAAAAAAGGGAAAGAAACACAGTCCTCTCTGCTTTCTCCACATCATCTTAACACCTTAGTCCCAACTGCTCACAGGGAAGTAATTACAGCTCCTTGAGCATTTTGGTTGCTCTTTTCTGCAGATTTTTCAGGCCTGCTTTTTGAGATGCGATGACCAGAACATAGTACCCAAGTGTGCTTGCAACATAGATTTGTATATACAGTATTTGTATAGCAGCATTCTTGTTTCACTCTCTTTTTTAATGAGCCCTAAACATGATATACATTTTCAACTATTGCCCAAGGATGGATGGATAGGACTTGAATTCAGTAATAACACTCAAAATCAGCTAAGTGTCTAGTACTTCCTGAGGAAGATGCAAGCCCCTCAGATACAGTTTGAGGTCTGTAATTATTGGGTTCCTCTCTGGAAATAAAGGGTTAAAGAACTAGCATCTTCTCCAGAGACCTTGCATTTTCTCCTCCCTTTTTCTAAACTAGGAGGTGAGGAGCAAAGAGGGAGAGAGATAAGCTTCAGAAACACCAGGCGCTGAAGGGCAAAGAGAGAAAGTGCAGCTGTAGGCATACATGTATATTTGGTCAATAGTAGCTCATGATATCCAGGAAACCAAGCACATAGGAGGTGCTGGGGCTACAGGGACAAATTTCTTGATTGAAAATTTCCCAAAGGTAAGCACTGTTTGAGAGTAGAGTAATAGTTACATTGGATGCACTGAACTGAACGCAAAGTGTTGTGGTTTGAGTATAAAATTTTAAGGGATGTGCTAGACGGATTAAGAAAGAATAGGGCTGTGAAGTTCCAGCATTATGACAGAAATATGCAAATAATTAAAAATCAGAAGGTTTATTATATCCTGTAGGGGTTAACGATGCCCAATTTTCTTGAAAATAATGAGTCAAGATACAATATTCAAGTTGTCTAATTTTATATCTCATCACCCTAAAACCAATCTATAGTGGTCTAAATAGTTGTCACACTGGAGTTCATTCTTTCCCCCAAACTGAAGATGGAACCTCATCAGAAACTAGATAATTGCCTAGCCAGTCTACAGCCAGAGAGAACTATAAAACTGAACATACAAATGATGGTAACTGCCTCTGGAATAGTTTATCAAATTTAAAATTGCCTATAATTTCTAATTACTTGTGAATATAGTGGAACTTCACAAGTATTGCATCACTGCCAAGCTCTTGTGAAGCCCATGGAGATATCTGTGTATTTGCCACATAGGTGCTGTAATGTTTAAAAAATTCAGAATAATGTATTGTTTATACAGCATTTCAAGGATATCTACAGACATACCAGCCCACAGCGATATTTTCTTTCAGCAACACTGTGTTATTTCTACTGTTATGTAGATAGGAAATTCAACTTCAGTGTAACCATCAGGGTTGTATTGTGGAGCTTTTGACTCATAGCTTCTGTTAGCATAGGTCTAGACCATTTGAAGAAATGTATAGATTCATAACACAATTCCATCACAAAAACTGGAGGGTAGCACGCACCTTTTTCACACACCTCAGGTCTTGATGAACATACCCAAGGTATGATGATCTTAGATACTTGGAGAGCAGTAGCTTGAGAAAGACTGCTTCATTTCAGTCTTCACAAGAATTCACAAGAATAATTTCCAAATATGAATATCCAAAATGATCCTCAGGCTCTGAATTCAGTGTAATTTAGAAAAATCAAAGATAGTCATAGACCTTTCAGATGCTGTTCCTAAACCCTAAATATGCTTTAGCAGAAATTTGTTTCTTTTTCTCCTAGGGAGGTGAATGTATTGGATCATAAACACAGTGTCATACCTCAACATGAAATCATATACCCCAATGTATATAACATGTTAATATAGCCCAAATCCAGGATGAGCTACAATCTTATCTGTCAAAAGATGGTCTGCACTTTGCAATTCCCTGGCATTGGTTTCCAGGGTGGGTATCTCAGTGGGCTTAATGAGAAGCATACAAAGTTCATCAACAGAGAATTGAGGCTATAAAATTCAGGAAATGGAATATTGGGTCAAAGTCTGTGGAAATAATTCAGCAGGAAGCCAAGGATCCTAAGCTGAAGAAGAGCAAATCCAGCAATTAGTTATGATAATGGAAATAATCTCCTAGGGTAAGATTTAATCTGGTTCTTACCACAAGGACTGCAGTACATATCTATATGTACAGAGGATACCAGGTAGCCCCCAAAAAAGGCATCTTGGTGTCATAGTTCTGTTCCCTCGATTAATTTGAGAAGGCAAGAGATTGACACTTTTGCCTCCCTGATCTAAAGGATGTAGTAAATGCACAATACAAAGGCCCTGGTGGAGATCTCTTGCCTACCAGAAACCAGAGCTTGGCAGTTCCAAGAAAATAACAGGTGTTTTGGTGCTGCTAAGCAACAGCTTCAGCTTGTCTCCAGCAGCAGCAAAGAAAACAAGCCTGAGTTATCAACTGAAGGATGCTGGCAAAATGGCCTAGAGTCATTGGTTACAGTTCAATTGCAGCCATCCTCATTTCTCTGGAGAGCACTGTCTGTAGTGACAACACAACATTGAGGACCTGAAGGGGGAAAAGGACTGCATTCCCATTCTCCTACTTCTAAGACACAGATCTTTAGTGAATCTGATGTCACCTGCCAGAGTAAGTGGGGTCAGAGCTGTGCTACTAATTTCTTAACAAGGGGTTCTCCAGTCACAGACAGTAGGGTGGAGGAAAGTAGGGTGGAGGAAAGGACAAAAAATGTCTTTATTTGGTAGTCAAGAAAAACAATAACATATTGTTTCCCTTGCTTTCTCTTTCGGGCCATTTATCTTGAACCAAGTTGGTTGAGAGAGGCAAGAGTGATTAATATCACAAGGTTCACTCCAGCACTCTTCCATCCAGCATCTCTTACATGGATTCAAGCTGAAACTCTTACAATACCTGCCTTAGTTCCTTTGCCCCTGTAAATACAAGTAGGCCACTGCAAGTAGATCCTTCCTTGATGTTCTTCTTCACATTATCTCATGTCCTGCCATGATCACCAGGTTAAATTTTATCATGCTATTTTTTTTTAACTGGGGCTGTGATAATCTCTCAAATTGAGCAAGGTACCCCCCCCCCCCAGCTCATTCCTGAGTGAGGTGTAAACAGTGCTTGAAGCTGATGCAAGTCTCTGGCTATGTGGAGGGCTTCTGAGGTGCTTAATTTGGGCCCTGGTGATGCCTGGCTCACACTGCTGAGCTATTGAAGGTGCATGCAGCTGGAATTACACATTAAGCTGAGCTATAACGTGGTTGTTGGTTTTGGCTTATATACTGTGGAACCCCAGCCTATACAGAGGAGCATGGCTACATTTGATTCCCTATAAGGATGAAAGTTGTAGTTTTACTGGTTGCTTTGGCAGTGACAGTTATTGTGCATTAGTGTTGAAGAGGCAAGGAAGAGTGCGGTGGTTTCAGAAACTAATTAACACTGGGATAATACCAACTTTAGCTCTGGATGGAGCTGGGCTCCCCCAGAAAGAGCTGGTATGCAATCTCGGGGTGCTCCTGGACTCTCAACTCCTGCAGGAATAGTTGATAGAAGCTGTTGACAAGAGGGCCTTTGCCCATTTTCATCTAATGCACCACTTGTGATTGATGCTGGAGCAACAGACCCTGGCTACAGTCACCAGTACCATTGTCATCCCACATATCACCTTGTCACCTCACAGACTACTATAATGTGCTCTACATGGGACTGAACCTTGAAGACCACCCAGAAGTGTGTTTTTGGGGGACACAAATGTTTGTGTACTTTTGTATGCAGATGATGCCATATGATTGGCTAAGAACCCGGATGAATTGCAGCTAATGTTAGATTGTATATGCAATGAGTAACATGGATCTAAAAATTAATTTATGAAAGACCAGGATAAATGCAGTGAACAATGGAAAGCTATACATAAATTATGAAAAACTAGAGCAAGTAGATGAATTTGTGTACTTTGGTAGAACATTTACTAAAGATGGCAAAATGTATGACAGAAGCATGTTGAGATGGTTTAGTCACATAGACCAAATGTTGAGTTGAAAAACAAATATATGAAAAAAGAGTGAATGGGTCAAGAGGAAAGAGAAAAACCAAGAGAATCATGGTTGGATGAAGTAGATGAAATCCTGAAAAAAAGAGAGGTGAGAAGTTTAAAGAACAAAAGGCAATGTATAAATTGATATATGTATATGTGAGAAGTAAGAATAGAAAAGTTCGTTATATTGAACGGTGTCAGTATAAACTAGAATTAGTTGTATTTCCTTTCCTTTTTTCCAGTTCATGTCTTTAATTTCTTTAACATTGTTTCTGATTCCTTTTCTGTATTTTGGATAATGTTGATACCCCAAAACAGAAAAGCATGATGGGCAAGTATATATATGTCTGCACTCCTAATTCTGGAAGCACCTGAGACAGTTGTATGAGGCATTGCAATGACATGGTAATGTTGTTGGAGAGGGTGGGGCTGAATTTTTCAACTATTTAAATTTTGTAGGAATATTTGGCAGCAAATGACAAGTAATAGAAAACTGATGTTAAGCTGTTAAGTGTTAAGCTGTTTCTCAAATTGTACTACTTCTGTACTGCTTCTTAAATTGTACTACCAAAATCACAAAATTGTCACTAAGTTTAGTGTCTTTATTTTGTGGGACCCTGGTATTAAAAAAATGGGGCCAAATCCTACACTAACTGCCAGGCTTCTATGGTTTCCTCACCCAGATGATAATTATTATTCTCTTGGCTACAGGTACAAAATGAATATCTGTTTCTTCTTCCTGAAGATGATGATGTTTATATTTAATGGAGTGATCTTTGTGAGTATATGCTAGGGTGGATGGCAATCCGTTGTGGCAGAGAGTTGGATAAATAGCTCAGGAGCTTGAACAGATGCATAAACGACACTTTTGCAAAATAACTGTGATGCGCAGATGTGAGAAGTTCAATAGCAGTATAAGCCACGTGCGAAAACACTCAGAATGAGGAAGCAATCTCAACATGTTCCATTGTTCATAAAATAGAACTAATACGAAAAGAAAAAAAAAGATTTCCCACCCACATTTCTCTTGTAATGTAATGGCATTCATTGGGAATGGGAAACATTTCTTCCATCCTCCAGTTCTTAGCAAATGCTTCCCTATCCAGCATTGTCTGATAGAGATAATTGCATGGGATAACTGAAGGATTAAGTATCATCTCCTGTTGTTCATCTTCCCTGCAAGTTCATCTACTGTATTCCAGTATGTGTATTTGCTCACCAACATGTAGTTCCACTCTCAGTACAAGTAGTCCTCATTTAATGACCTTAACTGGGACCAGCAACTCTGTCGCTAAGCAATGAGGTCATTAAGTGAAACATCACGTGACCACTCCGCTTAGCAACAGCAGTTCTGGCAATCCCAGTTGCTGTCATTGAGTGAATCCCACGCAGTCGTTAAGCGAGGACCCACCTGGATCCAAGCCATTCTTAGAAAAAGGTAAGGGACTGCCTCCACTTCAATTCCCCTCAGCCACCTCTGTCCTCATCCATCTCTGCTGTTTTGGCCTCCTATCTATCTGCTGACACTGGCTACCACTGCCACCCAGCCCTGCCCGCCACCACCGTGCCCACCACCCACCACACCACATGCCACTACTGTGCCAGCCGGAGCCTTCTTTCATGCTGCCTCCTTTCGCACTGGTGCAGCGGGGCTTCACTCGCACACTGGCCAAGGCCTCCATTTGTGTGCCAGCCAGGGCCTTCTTTCACGAAAGAAGGCCCTGGCTGGTGCACAAAAGAAGGCTGGCACAAAAAAGAAGGCTCTGCTGTGCTGGTGCAAAAGAAGGCCCTGGCTGGCGTGTCAACAGAGGTCCTGGATGGGGTGCAAATGGAAGCCCTGGGTGGAGTGTGAATGGAGGCCCTGAGCCAGTACAGTAGTTGCACGGGGTACACAAGCGGGGCAATGGCAGGCGTAGCAGCATGGGCAACTGGCAGCAGGGGTAGGCAGGCCACCAAAAGGTGGTCGTAAATGCTTCAGATGGTCGCTGAATGAATGGACGTTAAGCGAGGACTACCTATATAGCCTGCAGATATATATAGTTAGATATAGCAATCATCTTTTGAAAGGATACAGTAGTTATGGCTGAAATGTTCCACCAAACTCTGAATGGATTTTAATGCCCATTCTCTGCTTTTTATTAAGAAAGATCAGTCCTTTTTGCTCAGAATTCCAAAGTTTTTATTGCAGAATTAGGGCTTTCTAGTGCAGAAATACCTTCTGATTTCTCTCCCTTTTCCTCCCAGCTAGGGGGCCTGGCTTTGCTGGGCATTGGTATCTGGGTGAAGGTAGATGGTGATTCCTTTGTGAAGATCCTTGGCGTTGCTGCACCACAGTTGATGCTTCTGCTCCACGTGGGTTATTTGTGCATGGCAGTTGGCACCTTCCTTTTCATCATGGGCTTTTTGGGATGTTGGGGAGCTATGAAAGAAAGCAGATGTCTTTTGCTAGTGGTAAGTGATCTGCAAAAAATTTTTGCCATGGGCCAAACATGGGTGTCATGAAGTTGCTAGGCTGTAAGGTTCACACAGGGTTACTCACATCCTGACTTAACTTACGCTCCTGGACTTTTTCTGTCTCCCAGTCCTTCTGAATCTTGACATGCTAGGTACAATCCATAATAAATGAGAACCAGCATTCATCATGAAGGGATCACCAGGCCCTTTTTCAAGCATGTTTGACTTACATTTAGTTTCTGAGGCTGGGTTGAAGTCAGTTTTCAATAGTGGTGTTACTAAAAAATTCCAGTTAGATGGGCAGGAATACTATTTTCTGTTACTTAGAATTCTCTTAATATGTTGATAGTTGGTACAAAGAATTATCCAGCTTGAATTCTTTCTTTATCAGCAAAAGATTGATGAAAGTTTGAAGGAGTTATAGATAGGTTCTGAGGACATGCCCTGAAGCATCTTATGCTTTCAAATTCAAAGTGCTGCACAGCCCTAGTACTGAATGCTATTTGACATTTGAAATAAAACTGTCAGCCCTTCAAGGCAGACCAGGTCAGAAAACAAGCACCACAAGCAGTAAAGAACTCTACTTTATTGATATAGGCTATAATAACAGAATCTTGAAAGTCTGACAGAGTTTCTCTTTCCCTTCCTCTTATACCCAAGAGAGTGAAGGCAGGCTAATCTTGAGTTTCTTCCTCACCTTTTCCTGTCCTCCCAGGCTTACCTGATGTTTTTGTAATTAGCTGCCGCATATTTTCTTCAAAGCCATCTCGCACTCCAATTCTCCTTCTGATCTGGAAAATTTATGAATGTATACAAAATGCATATACAAGTTATTTGAATATTATTGTTATTTATTTTTCCAATGAATGTATTATCGACTGTAGCTGTATCAGAGTATTTAATCAGCTATTTCCATACAATTAGTAAAGAGAGCTTTTTCTAGCTAATAGGCCAAACAATCTTAGCTCTTTATACATTAATATCAGTTAAAATTATTTATATTAGATTGTAAAATCTAGGCATAAGAATTTAGTACTTCAAATTTACAAATTTGTTTTATAATTTAATTACGCTGCACTCCTATATCCCTGCTGCAATATATTCTTATCCAAGAGCTAGATTCATCACACTAAAGGGTATTTATTTCTGAATAGATCTGTATAGTATTAGATTGTGCAGAATATTAAAACTAGATCACAAAGAACTTTAGCATGATAAGATGACTCTTTTCTTTAGCTGTCTGCTTCACCTATAACAAGAATGAAATTTTGGTACATTTCTGGAGGCAACTCTAAATCCTTTGAACACTGTTTCAGGGAATAATCTGAACTAACTGAAGTTCCTTAAGGTAGGGGGGTTCATGGCCATAGTAAATCTGTTATTCCCTAGCAATAAATGCTTTGCTCTTGTGAAGCATATTACTTCACTAGCATGAACAAATGTTTAGGGAAGACCACATGGGGTTTGGGAATATAACAGACCACCATCACCCATCCTGTCAGCCCTCCCAGGTAAACCAGACAGGAAACACGACCAGATGAGCTACTTCTACTTATTTAGGCTACATTAACAGAACCTTGCAAGTCTGAAACTACAAATCTCCCACCATCCCTATTTATCACCTGATCAGTTAGGGTGGGTCCTTTCTAAGTTTCTTTCTCTCTCTGTTACCCAGTTGGGGGCTCCTCCCCTTTTTATCAGATCATTCCCTAGGCAGTATCTCTCCCCCCCTTCCAAGGTTATTCTCACATCCCATTACATCACCCTCCTCTTCAGACTCATCCCCCCCCCTTCCAAGTTCCCAGGGGAAACAGGCTGTGGGCTATGAGAATGAGATGCAGCTGCGTAGGTCTCCTCTCCCAATAACTCCCAAGATCACATGAGGCTTCTCGTAAACCATCTGCTCCAGTCAAAGTGACTGCCGCTCCTCCCTCAGAAATCTGTTGCTCCCACTCCCATTGGTCCTGCATGTCTGATGTGGAAGGAACTGATTCATTTCCCCCTACTCAGTCTCTTGCTATTCCTGAGGCCCCTCCAGCCCACAGAAAAACTCCTCCCACTCATCTTGGTCAGCATCTAACTCCTGCAAGGCTGGTAGTTGCTGAGGATGGGATTTGCTGGGGTACTGGTCGTGAAAGTGGACATCCATTGCTGCCTCCCGTGATCTTTCTGACTCTGGGTAGCCTTTCCAGTGTATTAAGTACTTGACCCACTTCCCTCTGCATCTAGAGTCCAACACCACTTCCGCCTCATACTCTTCCTCCCTGTTTCCTAGACTGGGGGGGGGGGTACTGTTTGTGAACATAGAGTGCAGGGGGGAGCTTCCTTTACAAGCAAAGACCAGTGGACATTGGGTGAATCTCCACTGATGTCAGCAACTGCAAACAAAAAGCCACTGGGTTGATTTGCTTAATCTCTGGGAAAGGGTTTAGAGTAGTATTGATAAAATGTTTTTTGTATGGCCACATTATTCATTAATACAGTATCTCCTTCTTGTACCTTTAATATCATTCTCTTTTCTTTTTCTTTTCACAGTTTGTTAGCCAACCATTTCCCTGGTTTATTTGCAAATTCAAAATTTCTTTGCTCTGCATAATTCAATTTTATTTCCATTTCTCTCATTGTTAACATAGATTACTGTTGCTGTAGAATCTTAATTTGTTGGGAGATATTTGTATTCCCCGAGGAGTTCTTTGATTCTTCTTCATTTCTTTTAATCTCATCCAAAATATTTTGTATTTTCTCTTGCCTCTTCTACTTAAGTTCAGAATTATATTGTATCAGGTAACCTCTGATAAAGGCTTTGCTTGCATCCCAAACCATTCTCATGTCAGTACCTTTATTTAAATTATTTTCAAAAAATTATTTTAATTTCTTTTTACAGTCCTCAACAATTTCATCCTTCTGTAACAACATTTCATTTAATCTCCATCTGAAAGAATTAGATTTTCTTTGATAAACCAGACTCACAGGACTATGATCTGAGAAAGTCTTTAGTAATATCTCTACTTTAGAAATTTTAGTAGCCAAGTCTCTTGAAATCCAAATCATATCTATTCTTGAAAAAGATTTGTGTCTTTCTGAAAAATAGGTGTACTCTCTTGAACTACCATTCTTCTGTCTCCATATATCAACTAAATTGTCCATCAAATCAAACAATAAGGGAAGTTTCAGAAGCAATTAAAAAGAGTAAACTAGGGCCAGATGGACTATCAAGTTTGTATTATAAATGCTTTGAGGATGAACTTTTACAATCTTTACAAAATACAATGAATTCTATTTTACGGGGTGGAAAAATATCAGAGATTTGGAAAGAGGCTAATATAACATTAATACCTAAAGAAGGACAAGACTTGACTTTAGCAAGGAATTAGACCAATATCATTGCTGAATAATGACTATAAATTGTTTACAATGATTTTAACTGAAAGACTGAAAATAATTTTGTGATAATTTATTCATGAGGATCAATGTGGATTTTTACCTAAAAGACAGTTGAAAGAGAATGTTAGAACTGTGTTGGTCATTCTCACATTCCATTACACATCCTTTACTGATAACTAAACTATTTTAAATTATCATATAAAAGAAATAAAATAATAAATAAAAATAGCATTACAATAATGGTTCACAATAACGGAAAAATGCATTCACATTGCAATGCTTGTATCTCAGAGTTTCCCTCTCATTGATTGATTATGTGCCATCAAGTCAATGTCGACCCTTGGTGACCACATAGATTTTCTCCATGATGATCTGTCCCTAACCTGGTCCTTCAGGTCTTCCAACAATGTACCTACCTATTGCCACTGTAACTGAGTCCACCCACCTTGCTGCTGGCCATCCTCTTCTTCTCTTTCCTTCCACCTTTCCCAGCAGTAGTGTCTTCTCCAGGGAACTAGGTCTTCACATAACATGTCCAAAGTAGGGTAATTTGAGCCTGGTCTTTTGTGCCTCAGGTGAGAACTCTGGGTTGATTTGTTTGATAATCCATTTGTCTGTTTTTTTGGCTATCTCAGAAGCCTTCTCTCATAGTGGTTTAGAAATGAAAACCATCTTACTATGAAATATTTTTCTTGCTTTCCTTCCTTGACATCATTGCTTGGAGTATCAAGTCAGGATCGCTTAATGTATTATACCTTTCAACAATTTAGAATATGAATTAATTCAAACTTGTTAACATGGAAATTCCCTTCTCTGCAGTATTATAGTGCCTCATCTATCTAACTACCTTTTAAAGAAACTGTTAAAACTTTTGTCTCCTGCTTTTTGTAAATGATAGAAGAAATAGACTACACTACAACTGTTGTCGATGAATGCCTCTCAGGTGCCAATAACAAGTGTTTTGGTGGGCTGTAAGAAATGAAGATACAGGCTTTGGCTTGAGATGCAAGTGAGAATGTGATTACATTTCTCCAAGGGAAAGAAAGAGACAGGCCACTTAGGAGAAGGAACTATCATAGAATCTTGACAGGAGAAAGCTGGAATTCAGGGACATAGTGGGTGTTAATGTGTATATGATGGTGTCAAAAAAGTCAAGATGGCTGCCATATGATAGAAATCCCACACGCATGATATACATTAAAAGGGAGCAGCACTTCAATCTTGACTTAACACCCCCCCACCCGATGCCCCTGCTGGGATTCACTAGTGCTTGATACAAGGCACTGCAGTTCCAAATCACTAGCCTTGCCATGCCAGGTAATATAATGAGAAATATTTTCCTAGAAGCTCCAGTCCTGTGAGGAACAAGGATCTGAAAGAGTACATTAAAGCTATTATTTAAACTCTTTCAGAAGTCTGGATCACTCACAACTTTGATTAACCAAACATCATTATGAAGCACCTGACAAGTGTCTTAATCTCTCTATGAAGCCTACCCACTTTAGAGACAAGTCTGTTAAAAGATCTGGCTGCTCCATCCTGTCAAATAGGGTGTCCCTCAAATGTTGGCAGGGGACAGTCTCAGGCCACATCATTTTTGGCATGATGTTGCTGCCTTCCATCCATCTCACCAATAGCCCATGTGGACATCAGTTATAGTGGGTATAAGTAGAGTATACATAAAAATGGGTTGCTACATAGATGTTACTGATACTATGAGAACAAACTCACCAAAATAAAGAATTGCACACCTTGCCTACTCACTGCAGTATGTCCCTTTCTCTTTCTGACAACTAGAACCAGTAATATGATGCAATGTTGAATCTCTCTATTTAAAGACATTGGGAGGTTGTTTTAATTAGATTTTGCCTATACCCTGAGCCTGCTGTAATCCTCAGCTGGCATGTCAGAGTTCTGGCTATTGCTGATAATGAACACCATATTCTCTGTTTCCAGTTCTTTGCAGTTATACTAGTAATCTTCATAGCAGAAGTAGTGGGTGCTGTTGTGGTGCTGATTTTCTCCACTGTGGTAAGTTATGGCTAACATTTGGAGACTGATGCCTCTTCAGTCCAAGTTTTGCAGTGAGAAATCATGAAGACAAACTGAGTCATTTATCAAAAGAAAAGTAACACTATCTAATTTGCACAGAAGATGCAGAGTTCCATTGTGTTCTGAAAAAATACCAAAGGGATATTCATATTAACAAACACAACAAAGAGTAGAGTTTGGGGCACGTGAGGGGGTGCTGATAAGGTGGGGCAATGTGCCAATCTCCTGGAAGTGTCCTAGAGTGAGCATCAGAACAAGTCTCTGTTCTGCCCTTGGATGAGGCTCATAAATGACTAAATAAGATGGAAGGACCTGGGTTCTCTTCCTGCCAGTATGAAATGACTGCTTCTGAACCTCATTCATCACTGTCAGTTGTTTTTCCAGGGCCTCTTTTTTGGGGGCAGTGATCTTGTTTTCTCGCATCTATGTATTTCCTCCCTCCCCACCATCTTACCATGTGCTATCCAGTGCCCATCCTGCTGGGATATCTGGAAGTTGTAGTCCAACAGATCTGAAGAGCACCAAACTGGGACAGGCTGATTTAGCATGTTGATGACTATTCCAGGGCATCACCATAGTTCACCCAACTATAGTGAAGGATCTTGAACAGCTGATAAGGAAAATTATACTTTAAAAAGTATTATATAGAAGTAATATTATCATTTGCCATTAATATGCCTCCTTACTCCAGACAGATATATTTGTTCAATATTTGAAAAACTGGGCCATGAAGACTTTAAAAGAAGACTATGGGAGGCAAGAAGACCTCACAGCCATTTGGGACACTACAATGAAGCAGGTAATTCAGCTGGAAAGTCCAATTTCTAACTACATTCTTTTATAGTTGAGGTTTTGAAAGACATTCAGTAGCAGGTGGCACAGTCCTGAGATTTTATGGAGATGTATATGGAGATACTCATATTTCATGTAGTCTTCAGTGATCAGCTGAAATTTCTCACATTGCAGGCAAATTTTGTGTAGCAGCCAATTCTGTAAGGCAATATTTAATAAACTCTTTGGTGGAATATCCTTCTAGTAAATAATTTTTAGGAGTAGAAGGTCCACTTTAGTTGATTAGTTGAACTATTGTTGGTTGACATAGATAAGTTTACTAGGATAGAAAGTGTTCTGTTTTTCAATAGTGGTATGCAAAACATTTCAAATCAAACTGTTCCAAATTTTAAACATCTTGTTTCGAGTATGAAATTTGCAGTCTCAAATGTGGGGGGAGACATCTGTTTTGAATTTGAAGCGGCTCATTTCACAGTCAAAACAGTTGTTTCACACTTGAGGGGAGCCATTGTACCCTCAAAATTGGATGCTTCAATTTTGAAATAATTTGATTTGACACATTTTACATATCCTGGGTTTTATATGATATATTTTGTTACAGGCTTATGGCAGAATGGAAGACTCATACAGTATATACATATGCTTTATGTTTTACATATTTGCATTTTGTTATTTTAGTACTTTGCGGTTGAATAATCTTAATAAAAATACTGGATATTAATACTGATATCAATATAGAGCTTCTAGTTCCTAGGCATCAAGATGTTTATTCTTGTGATATCCTAAGATCAAGAGCTGGAATTTTTCATCATCCACACACAAATGATTCTTTAGCCTATCTATAATAAGAACCATATTATGATAATGCCCTGAAGCAATGCTATATTTTCTTACTACCCCTCAGATTTTATATTCACATAGGATATAATCCAGTAACTGCTGAATATTAACTTGTGATAATATAATGCCAGTGCTCGAATGGCTATCTGGCATGCCACCACCTTCCTGTTTGCCTGTCTTCCAGTTTAACTCAAAGAAATTCTAGGTTTGATTTTGAAATTTGCTACAATACAGCAGCATGCACATTTTAAGTAAATACCAGTGCATGGCGGGTGGGGGTGGGGGAGGATCTTGAGCCCATGGCCAGATCTTTTTTCATTTATGATTTAATTTGCACTTGCATCAAGACTCTTTTGTTTTAATCAGTGCATGCATCCATAAAGTGTAAGGAGGAAGGCATGGACTGAGAAAATACACTGAATTTATATGTGCAGCCCTCTGACCAACATCTGGAAATAACCTTAGAAAATGGCCTATGTAGTTTGTAAGACATTAGGCAGAATGAATTGGATATAAATCTCAAAATGTATATATGCTGAGTTTATGTCTTAGCAGCTTCCTGATAGTTAATATCCTTTCTGGCTCCTTCCCCATCTTTGTAAAGCTGATGCATCTTTCTCTTTTAGCTGAACTGCTGTGGATTCAACAACTATGCCGATTTCAACACTTCCTACTTCTATCACACTCATGAGAAATATCCTTCTCTTTGCTGCCTGTCCAGCAGAGAATGCCAGCAATTTGAAATAGACTACACAAAGCAGGTAACTTTGGTTCCTAAAGATTACAAAAGGCTGGTTGCTTTTCAAGCTTTGTGGCAAGGTTTACTTTTAAGAAGAGTTTAAAACCAAAGCAGCCCATCTAACCTTTGTTAGAGGAAAATGAGGGGACAACCAACCTTTTCATCCCCAAACCTTTTTGATCCCAATTCAAAGCCTACTTGATATTGTTCCGGGCAATTTTGATAATTTCAGATCCTGTTGGAATTCAAGACATTACAAAAACAGGATGTTTTTATACACAGGGAACTGGGTGATTTGGCCCAATAGCTGAGCACACAGAACTACCATCTGGTCAGTGTTCAGCTGTTGACCAGTTACGGACTGCATTGCTCTGCCCCCAGGCCTCACCCCAAAAGATTTTTCACCTCTCCTTAAAGAAATCAAAGAAAAAGAAATAAATTTGACGTTCTTCTGTGTTTGCATCAGTCCCCTTCAAAGTACATAAAAGTGGCGTGCCAGAATCACTCCATTTGGACCCCTTAAGCCAGTCAAACCAGCACACCAACATGAAAAAGAAACACGAATTGGGCAGTTGGACAAATTGGGGCTCTCCCCCACTAGGAAAACAGGTACCTCTCCAGCACCAGGGAACAAAAGCAAGCTGTTTGGACAATGTTATTTTCTGCCTTATTATAGCTATTCCTGAATTACAGGAACACGTGAAAAGGATTGCTTTCACAAGCCATCAGCTGTGGCATCATCTGACCAGTGGGAGGGGGTTCTTACAGTCCCTATTGGATCTGCATCTCTGCTTGGAAGTCCCTTAAATAACAAATGAAAATATGTGTTTTCCTTTGTCAATACATGAGGACAGAAATAATGTATTAATAGCTGAATGCAACATTTGAATCTGAAAACATGATTCTCTATTAAAATTGGCATCATGCACATGTTACAATTGGTGGGAGTAGATACAAAAGTGTTACCAAATGTTTCAGAACAGAATGGTCAAGATTCAACCTGGTATTTACCCCAGAACCTGCTTTCTTTGTGGACATGAGTTTCAGAGGTTTATATGATTCAATATTGGCCTCCCAGAATCAGTTGCAAGTGGGCAGTCATATAAAATGAGTGAGTGAGTGAGTGAGTGAGTGAGTGAGTGAGTGAGTGAGTGAGTGAGTGAATTGTTTTCAATATAATTTGGGGGGTATCCTCCCATGTTTCATGTACAGTTCAGAGTTCATTTTTCTAGGAAACAAGGAAGAGCTGCAAAAGAATCTTACTAATTTGTTTGCTGTTTAGCAAGGGTTACAATACATTAAACTACTTTTTTTAAAAGAAAAATGCACAAACTTTCTAAAATCAAGCTAATCAAGTAAAATAATTTCCATGGTCTCCAAGATTGGTGCCTAATGACAAGAACTAAAAATATTTTTTATAGAAATGATGCTAATGCATACACTTTTTAAATAAAGGTTTCTGAATTTTTTCTACTATGCCCCCATTCCTACTTTTTTTTTTAAAGTCTTTATGAGAGTTCCAAGAAATTCAGCTAACTGGTAACATGATCCAGGACTCATGTATCAATATCAACAATGATATTGATATCAAGAGACTTCAATAACACAGATATGTGGTAAGAAATGCTCTCCACTACATCATGTACTTTCTTTTTCCAGGGCTGCTTATTTGAATTTGACATGTTTCTGAACCACAATGGGAAGATTGTCGGAGGAGTAGCTGTAGCAGTTGGGATGGTTGAGGTAGGCTTACATAGGCTCATTCTCCTGTTCTCAAATTACATGACATTATTTATATAGTCCCAAGAATCTGCTTTCCAAAAGTAATTAGATTGTGACTCAGTTTGTTGTGAGAGCCCAGACAGTGTGGATAACTTATGATTCACTGTTTTGTTTGACAGAGGCTCTAGAAGAACTGTATCATTCATCTGATTACCTCTTTTGATCAGATCTAGTTTGGACATCTTTTAACATCCTTCTCCAGTCTGCATTCTTCAGATCTGTAGTGCCTAAATTTCTTGTGCTTCTAAAAGACTCTGGTAATCATAATGCCAAAATCTGAATGGCACCAGCAGATTTAAAATCATACTCCATGTTGTTTCCTTTCCATCACAGCAAAATGTCTCCACTTGTGTCCTGGTCTTCAGAGACATCTGCTGATCTGGGTTATATTGCAGAGACTGCTATCTTAAGCTCATTTCTGATACAGGAATTGATAAATCGTTGCAGAAGAACCACCTCTAAGAGCAGAAATATCTTCCCTCTTTCATGAATTTAGGGCAAGATGCTTTCATTCACCTACAACATTTGTAGACGTTGTCTAGATGTTTTCAGAATATACTGTCATAGAAAGTGAGCCAGCTATGCCTATATCATTTTTTTTTTTTAGTGCAAATTTTCCTCCAAAATGTTATCATAAACCTTCTGAAATCCAGAAAAAAGCAACTGCAATAGCTTCAGCGGGCTTTGAGGAGATTTTAAATCCAGTTTATGTCAGTGGGTGCATCAGATTAGTAAAACAGCATGCAACTTGTTCATGTCAATCTCCTTTCACCTCTTTTTTTGTTTTGTAGCTGGCTGCCATGGTCGTCTCCTTGATCCTCTATCATCATATTGGTACAAAGGTCTGAAGCAAAATACTTCAAGCACCAGCCATGTCAGCCTCCATGCCTGCAGTGAAAGACATAGGACAATTGTCCTCTTTCATAAACAGAAAAAAGCAGTATCTTTCAATGGATTTGTATAGCTACAGAGCTACCAGATCTTGAACCTCATTGATAATGATTATTGATCAGACATTAATTTCCCCTTACTGTTATAAAAATAATTATATAGTCAGACCTGCCAAGAAAATATATAGGCTTCATCTACTACCATTTGTTCTATGTGGTGGGAAGCCCAGGACGTTTTTAGAGAGCACATTTACTTTGAAAAACTGAACATTAAACATTTGAGTGTTGTTTGCAACGACCCGTTTATTGACATATGGACAGACTTAGCTGACCTGGTGAGAGTTCAGAAGCCACCACACAGGGAAACAGTACTATTCCCAAAGCAGACCAAGAGTACAGCTGAATAAAAAATGTCTATAATCCCTCTTTGGAAACTTTGAATGAGGGCCAGGAAGAATTGTTTCCCAGAAGTGACACAGTTAATAGCCTAGTGGTGTCATAGTGTTCCATGACAAAGCATAAGTTACTATTTGTGTTGGCCTCATGGAATGGTTTGAAAGCATACTGTATGAGATAGCAACTTAAATTTAAGTAAGCAAATTTGATGAATGAAACACAGGCTTTGTGTCATTAATAATAATCTAACTCTCAGCATTTTCATTATAATCTAACTGCTCTTGCCATAGTTATTTCCCCAATGTTGGAAGGTGATACTGTACAGGCTTTTACTAACTCAATGATTCTTTACTTTGAAAGACAGTCAAAACATAACTACAAGTTAAAAAAACATATGAAATACTTTTTATATGTCACTAAGTGATTAATCTTTAGGAGTTATCTTGATTTCAGTACATAGCTAAGATTTAAGTAACAGAAATATTAGCTGAAGCTGTATTTGATGAATTAGTGGACAATTTTAATTAATGATGCCATGAGCTAGGAGTTTCTTGATATGGAACAAAAAAGAGAAGATGATCTTTCTTCATCATCATCATCATCATCATTATTATTACTATTACTCTTTAATAGATTTGATATAGCTGCCCACTCCAGTGGACTCTGGCAATTTACAAAATACAATAATTAAAACAATTAAAAACATAAAATGAAACAAGACAACCCAGACTGAAAACAACCATTAAAACCAAGCACGACCAACCAAGACTTATAACAATGAATTGGTGAATTCCTAAGTTTTTCTAGCATTCCAATGAAGCATCTCATCATGGGGCACTTCCGTATCACCCTGTTCAATCTCTCGAAAAGTAATTTGAGTCTGAAAGTGAAGACCCACGTTTGTCTTCACTGCCACTGATCTTCCACAAAGAATACACAGAGAATACCATGAGTCAAATCCGCGCTCACCCTTTTTCCCTTTTGCTGACCAGCAAAATCACTGCCCCACCCCTCAGCTATTACTATTTATCCACAAAATGTCTCTCATCCCTATTTCACACAAAATTGGTATCTCTTCAAAATCCCTCCCATCCACAGTACATGTATGTGTATTTGGTCATTTGCAAAAAATCAGAGAGTTGCTCTAATGAGAAGCTGTGTCAGAGAAGATTGATTATAGAGAAAAGCAGTGCAATTCTCCAGAAGCTTCCCAGCTACCTTGACCCATCCATCTGTTGCATTCAAAAGCCCTCATGAATTGTGAAGCTGAAATGTAGGCAGTTTTATAACTCAGTGATTTTCCCAACAGCTGTGGCCATGGTTGCATGATATCATGGTGACTGGATTGTGGAAGAAAGTTCTAAACAGGAAAAAATTAAGCTCAAGGAATTTCTTGAATCTCTGGGTTGGGGGAGTAATGGCTGGTTTGAAACCAAGAAGCAAGGGGAAAAAAGAATTCCCACCAATGAGAAAATGGACTGTCCTCAAAGTCTGCAGATTCCCTAGCAATTCAAAGGGAAGTAGCAGTTTTGTGGTGATGTCCTATAAATGAAAACATTATCACAAATAAATTAATGCAGTTCCCCCAGACAGACGACATCATTCAATCAATCAGGTCTGGAGCAAATCCTAAAATGGTGCAAAATGCTAGTCTAGAAGTGTCCAAAGCATACTGAAATTTTTCTAGTATTAAAATCTATTTGATTGTTTAAATGTATTTAAGTTTTATATTAAGTTTAATTTTAAAAATTTAAATAATCAGTACACATTATTTAATTAGTTGATACCTTGAGTAACTTACAGGCCTGGTTCCACAATAGTCTTGACCGGATCTATGGTGAGGGCAGCACGTTGGTTGAACATACTAGCCCAGTATTGGAGCAGGAAGAGCAGGCAGTATTGAAGGAAGTGGGCAGGGGTTGGTAACACTTGGCCAAGTGATTAATTGTTAAGGACCTAGACTCAGGATATTATTGATTAAGTATTGTGATCTGGGCCAATAAATGTTTTGCAGTAGTTGCTGAACGCAACTATCCTCAGTTAGAGCTCAAGAATGATCATGGCTATTGCCAGTAATGCTCACACACTGCTGAAAAGTGAAAGAATGGCAGTGCCAAAGCAGAGAGGTTGGCTGGACAAGGCTTTGCACTTGCTGCAGGATGTTTTCTTCACCCTCCTTCCGTTTCCTACCCAGGAGCCTCAGAAGCATGTGTGAAGCCACACATACATAAAATAAAAAATGGGAAAGAAGTATGGTTCATACCTCATACTAAGATATTATTTGCTTAACAGTGGTTTGTTATATAAGCCACAATGGCTGGGTTCACAGTCATAGAACTGTGATTGACAGATCATAATGGCTAACTCACTAAGCCAAAATCAAACCACATTAGAGCTTACAATCCATGTTATGTTTATTTTTATCCCTCTCAGTCAGTTGACAAGTAGCGATAAAGGCCTAGAAAATGACATCTAGAACAATCCCACTGATATTTATTCAGGTTGTTTGAGTCAGCTTTTAATCCTATTTGTTCAGTAAAGTCAATTAAATTAGATAATAATTAAACCGCAAGAAAGGCAAGATGAACTTTTTTTTTTTTAGTCTGTGCTCAGTCGTTACCGACTCTGCAGTGACTGCTTTTGGACGAGTCCTTTTTGCAGTTTTCAAGGCAAGGTGTTTTCGGAAGTGGTTTGCCAGTGCCTCCTTCCTAGAGCAGAGCCCAGCGGGAGAGTGCAGGAGGCGGGTTTTCCGTTGCTCCGCGCCTTTTTCGGGCGGGCGCAGCTTCCGCGCTACCGGCAACTGCTCCCGACTCCTTTTTGCAAGGCGCCGCCAGCATTTTTCCTCCCACCAGAGTGAGAGTCCCCGTTTA